GCGGATGTCCTTTCCGGCGAAGCGGGCAACAGAGCGAAACATTCAATGGATTGTACTTGTAAGCGAGGTTTTAGCGAGTATCTTTATGTAGAATGTGAGGGGAAAAAGAAATCATGAAATAAGGTAAATGGGCAGTGGGCCTGTGCTACACCACTGCTTGGCCGAACGCTTTAGACATGAATGCCCAAGTGACCCTTGGTTTTTGTGAATGCGAAGGCACGATTTATGGTTGCTCGGAGAGTTTCTTACGCATGTAACCAAAGGCGTAGTGGTATATGAATCAGCGCGTGTGGTCATCTTTTTTTTCCTGTTGAGTTGTGTCAGCAGAAGGGTAAACGAACAAAAAAAACTTTCCCAAATAAGTGAGTTAAACATCAGTTGTTTGGAGTACCACTGATACCCGGTTTAGCTTTTCATGAACCTCCACGGCATAATCACTATTCTATGGCGTTGTCTTTACTTGTTGTGGCTTCTTTTCTTTTTTCTTCTTCTTTCTTCGTTTGTTCCCGATATGCACAAAGGTGCAGTGCTTGGGACGAAGGAGAATCAAGTTATTTTCTGGAAGTCTATCTGCATGGCAAGAGTACATGGGTGTGCGGATTCACTTTATCACCCTATACTGGCGTGCCACCGCTATAAAGTATTTACTGATTCGGCATGGAATGAGGGCTCTTTTGATCCGCTTGTTTTTTGTTTGTTTTATTTACTGACCGACAGCTGGTCGTTTTTTTTTCTTCGTACATCCTCAGTTGAATGTGGAGTAGATTGTCGCCCCCGTGCCAAATACAACGCTCACGACACCCACAATGAGCGTTAAGTATGTCATGACGTAGTGAAACCAGCCAACGTTTGCTGGTGTCCAGCCCCCCGAGTACATGTAGAAGTAGACGGGGTAAATGAAACCAATGAAGCCACCACACACCGCGCCAGCAAGATTCAACGCCGTACTAATTCTAGGGACGAACAAGCCGCATACGAGAACAATGACAGAAATGAGGGTCACCACTGCGATATGCTTCCAGTACGGGAGCTGATCAAGATCCCACCCCAGAGCGTAGTAAACTGTATTGCGGCACGGTATCATGTTGAGCGCGTATGACACACACAACTTGATAATGAGCCCAATGTATGCCACCATCATCATGGGTTCGTCGACGGGATCGAACATGTACAGCACAGACTCCTCAATGCTGTCCCCAAACTCCATATAGCCGAAAAAACCTGCCAGCCAGTACAGCACGGAGCACGCTGTCATGCTGAGGCTCGTACAGAGGAGAAGGCTCGACACACTGGGAACGTGCATCTCGTAGTATACCTGATACGCAACGGCGTGACAAAGGTACGAGAAAACAAAAACGCCAAGACCTTCGATAGCCGAGTTACCTTTTGTTACAAGTTTAACCTCTGATCGTTTCGGCAGGCCATTTCTGCAGGAGTGAATCACAACGGTAATGGCGAAGTACACCACAAAACCAACACCAACAGCGGAGAAGTACCGCAGTGTGTTGATCTTTTTTGGTATCACAAGCGTAAGCATACCAAAAAACCACACAACACAGGTCATGACTCGAATGCCAGTTTCAGTTCTTAAAAATTCAGGTATTCCAGGGGAGCGTTGCAGAATTGGGGTAATCAGACTTCCTGTTGCGATAACATATGCAAGAGCCGCCCCAAAGCAGCTCACTCCCATTACAAGGGCCATGAAATAATCGGCGCCTCGTCCCAAAACACCCCGCGACATTTGCTCAAAGGCCCTGAAGCCCGTCTTTTGCATCACGTAGCCAATTATAGTGACGGTGTACACGGTAAATATCGTCATGAGGATGAGGTATACGGTCCCCACCAGCACGCCAGTGGCACGGAAGGCCCACGGCAATGTAATGATACCAGCTCCGAGTGAGGCAGAGGCGAGGTTGAAGCTGTTCGAGAGAACTCCACCATGTGGAATCACCGTGCACAAAATAAGGGTGATGAAGCCGATAATGCCTTTTGGTTGTTTCTGGTGGACGAAGGAAGTGGTGGGAGGGTTGATGACATCTGATGGCTTTATGGGGGTTAAGCGAAGATAGGATTCGACATCGCTCCGCAATTCCCCATCCACGGTAATAGAACCGCTCCCGTTGAGTGGAGTCGGCTGCATGCTACACCCCTCCCTTCCCTACCTCTTGCGGCTGCTGCCGCTATGAGTAACAAATGTTTTTCGGTTCACTATATAGAATAACTTGACAAAAAAAATCAACAAGAGGATACAGGGAATGCAAACGACGCGAATCGTCCTTTTGCGGATGAAGCAAACAGAACACCTTTTTTTTTCTCATCCATTCGTCGCGTAGCGCGACAACCCAGATCAGCACGAAGCAAAGATCGCATGAAAACGGCTCTAACATTCCATATACATAGCAGTCATGAAGAAACTAGAAACACTCGAGAAAGAAAACGAAGAACCGTGCCGGCGGCTGCAAGTGCTAATTCATTTTACTCCTCATCATCCCTGGGCTCTGACGGCTCGTGTGTGTATCGGCTCAGTCGTGTAGCATATTCCTCATTCTTCTCGCGATCATACTCCCACTGCTCCAGGCAGTACACCGGCTTTGTCCCTTGCAGGCGTTTGAGCATCTGGAGATTCTCTGCTGTGATGCGTTCCTGTTCTTTGCGTCGGCGCCGTTCAGCATCACGCGCACCGTTGGTGTTCCGCCACGGCTCCTTGTTGTCAATTCCACCACCTTTCTCCATGATGGCCGCCATGTTGGCAACCAACCGCCTGTTCTCTCCCTCAATGCGCCTCCAACGCTCTTGCTCCATCAGAACCCTCTTATTGCTCAGACTCAATGCGTGTGGGGGTTTGTTGTCAATGCAAGCCTTCTGATTCTCTACACGGCTCCGGTGTTGCTGGTACTCCCGCTCGCGCTGCTGCTCGAGCCACATCATGCTAGCTGTTGGCTTTGGCTTCACGGGCATCACTTCCCTTTTCTACTTCTTTTTTGTTTTTGTGTGAGTGTTGTTCTGCACCGATCACGCCTTCGTCTTGCTTTATATCTCTTTTCGCTCCACACGTGCACCTCTGCCTCGTTAGCCTGCTCGCACTAAAACAAAGAGAGAGAGAGAGGAGTGGAGAATGTGTATACGTGTATGTGTGTGTGTCGGTGGAAAGTGCGGGTGAACCGCGACGTCACCGCCATCAAAGGTGCCGCACAATGTGGTGCATCCGAGACACACAGCCGCACAGAAAGCAAAAGGGGGAAACCACGTCAACGGCGAGAACGCACTTCTCGCCAGCAGCACTGTACAGAGTGAAATATGCTTTTCGACACAAGCAAAACAAAACAAAAAAAAAAACACGCAAGGCTATGAAGACATATTGTGAAAAAAAAAGAGTTTATAGAGATAAAGCAGAAACTAAAGAGATCAATCCGCCTCTTTTTCTCTATATACCTCCCATTTTTTGTCATCAACCTCCAGAGTATCTCATGTACATGTAGCTCACTGTGGAACGCGAAACTGATACGATTCTATAAGGCCACGACGGTCGCTTGGAGACAGGAGAGTGTACCCCTGCAGCAGGACCGTCAACGGCACGAGAACATACCCTGTTGGATCCGGTCGGTTTCGGTCTACTGGCTCGAGTGACTTATCCTTCACCACGTAGAAGTTCGGCTGACACACCATTTGCACGAAAAGTCTAACTTGCTCCATCTTCGCATCTGAGGCCTCTAGAGTCTTCCTTACCACAATCAGCTCATCAGTCACTTTTTGCAACTGCTCCTGAGTGCGCATAAGGTCCGTCTCCAATACATGCCGCATCCTTGACGAGCTGGCTTCGTTATCATCATTTTGTCCGCGCAGTCGCTCGCATGTTTGCTCCCACTGTGCCTTGGCGCTATGAAACTCCTCAAGCTGCTGTCGAAGCACGTCGTTTTCTGTGCGAAGGGCCTCCATCTCCTGGTTTATTTTAGCTTTTAGGGCTTTTTCAGCCCGTCCTCCTTTCAGTTTCTCAACGGCCTCGTCCCGCTCCAAAACCTTCTGAAGAAGGCGGCGCTGTTCCTCACACTGCTCACGCGCAAACTTCTGGTAAAGATGTATTTGCCCAAATAGACCATCTATGGTAAGCATTCTGCGTTCGACCTCCTCCTCTAGCTTGAGCTGTGTAAGAGCCAGTTTACGTCGCAACTTTGCTTCTTCTTTGCCTTTTTGCCGTAACTTATCCAACGCCCGCTGCAGCTCCGCGCTTACTTGCTGCAGTTTCCGCCGCTCGGTAGCAGCTTCATATTCGTCGCTTCTTCGTCGTCTCTCATCATCCGTCCTAATCACTCGCTCCTCACCGGTGCGGTTTCCCTCCACGAGAGCCTTGAATGGGGGGCATGTGACTTCATTATGCGGGGACCCAAACGTTATAACAGCGTGCTGCAGAAGTTGCTGTGAGTATATCTTGTTATTTCTGCAGACGGTGGTGCCCCGCTTGGCCACAGTCAGTGGGGGCATGAAACTAGTCTCCGGAGTGTTCATTAATATCTGCACCGATACACCGCTACCACTACTGCTTGGGGCGAGAAGACAGCAATAAGCAGGAAAAAAAAAACAAGGACAGCACAAAGAATATTACAATGCCATACGATGGTAGTAGCAAGGAACAAACCAAAAAGTTATTGCATCATCAACACGCATTCACTGATCTTGTTATTATTTTGACGCAAATATTAGAGTAGTCTTTAAACGTTTTTTTTTCTCGGTATTTCAATGAAGGACTTTTCGGCATTGTGAGCCTTTATACTCTCACGGCGCCGTTTCTGTTGCTGCTGCTTGGATCCTAGTAAAGAGAACGGACAATGTATTGAGCTCACTGCGCGAGAAAAACTGAGCGGTGACAGCCCCATAATGCGGCACCAATGGCGGAACCCTCTGCAACACAACTAGTACGTCACGCGGCATTTCTCCGGCAGCGCTCCCCACATGCCCTGCTACATCCTTGTTGCTCTCTTCAACCTCCTCCTCTTCCTCCTCTTCCTCCTCGTCATCTTTGCCATCAGCCCACTCGTCTTCGTCGTCGCTTTCATCTTCCTCTTCCATACAACCTTGACTCAGGAGGTTCAATACGCCCTTCCCAACAGCGAGAAAGAGCGCCACATCGAGCGGCAATGAGAGCTTCTTGCCCTTCTTTTCACTCCATGGCACCATCAGACCATGTAATCGTTTGTCCATAGGATATTCCAGTAACAATTCCAACAAGGCATCACACGACCGAAGGAGGTCCTCCTTCCCCCAAAAAACACCCATCTTTGGAAGCCATACAGAAAACATATCCACAAGAAGCCATGACGTCATCAAAACGTTGATGAAAGCAATTAGATGACGTTTTAACAACACTGCAAGAGGGGCAACTAATTCCTGAACAATGGTGTCCGTACGAACAGTCTTAAGGCGACTCACAATTGTTGTAATTAGGCACGCTAATTCATCATCTCGAAATCCACCAGTGTTTTCCGCAATGGCAACCAAAACCTTTCCAGCGTTCATCAGTGACACTTCTTTTCGTTCCGCCGCTAGCATGGAAGTGGCAATCACGACGAACACAGCAGACAAAAGGTACGGCTGCGGTTCTTCGTCTAGCGGAATCGATGGTGCAACCTGCACTCCACGGGAAGGTCTTTCTATTCTCGGCACATACAAGGCCCCCATGGCAGACGGTGGAACGAAGACCGTCGCTGTTCCCGCCTGCGGACATCTCTGCAACAAAGCGCTAAGACAGTTGGATGCGGACGCCAGAATGGACGACTCCTCGGTCGTCAATAACAACCCACATAAAGAACCAACCAGGCTTTCAGCTGTCCTCACCGTTACGTCATCTGAACCCTTCGCAAATACACACGTCAACATTTGAATAACGAATGGCACAGCGCAGTATTCTGCCATGCCACACCGGCCATTTAATACGTCCGACATCCAAGAAAAACCTGCAGCAAAGGATGCATCACCAGCTGGTTCAGTGATAAGCTCCCCAAACAGTGACACAACCAGCTCTCCTATGTTTGGGTCTTGAATATGGTTTTTCCAGCAGCACAACAGCTTATAATGGGCATCTGGAGGGGCTACATCCCTTCTTACAGTGTGACACCTGGAGATCCATTCAGTGTAAACTTCAAGGCACAAGTACAAAAATTCGTCCGTTGTGGTCTCGCTTAGCATGAGAGAAAACAAGGCATCTTGGCCCTCTGCAAACGAAGTCAGTGTGTCATTCTGGTGAACCAGAGGGAGGAGCCGATGCAACAGCTTGCATGCCGCAGCTCGAAGTAAGGGGGCAGAGCTTACAAGCGAAACGACTGTCTTCGGTAGAAGTGAGGCGGAGAGTGACTGCACATCTACACCCTCCCTTTTCATCAATGTCAGCATAACTCCCAGTAAGGACAGTGCACGAGACGCCAAAATAGCTGGACCTGTCACATCCTTCTCTAGCACGGCTTGCAACAGAAACGTATGACTCGTTACACCTGCACTTACCATCTCTCGAGGGCATCGGCGCAAAAGAACCTCCAGTAGGAAAAGAACACTTTCTCTCTCTTTCCACGAATGATCTGCAGTGTTTAGGAAACCGACAAGAAACTGCAAGAGGTCACTCCCAAGTACTGGTACGCATAGCCTACAAACATCTGTTGCCGTTGCCCGAACATTCCACGCCACCTCATCCTCTTGTTCTTCTTCGTGACGCAGAAAGACGTTCGCTTCATTGAGCCACTCTTCCGCCTCTATGTCACTCAACATTGTATGTAGCAGAACTAAATTCAAAAATGCCTGTGAATTCGCACCCACAACAGTTTCCAACACACTCCGGAATGATTTCATACGTGCAACCTCCCCCAAGAAACTCCAGCGCTTTGCCATAACCTGCTGAATGACAACGCTCTCTTCGTCATCCTTCTCCTTGGCATCAAAGTAAAATGCATCTTCCGACCTAATACATGTTATGGAGTCATGAAAAAGATCCACCGTATAAGACTGCCGCGTCCATTTGGCGGTGCAGAACATGTCCTCGAGAAGCACCAAGATTCCCAGAGTAAGCCGATTACGAAGAAGACTATCCTCTCTTCCATCTGCTGGACGACATGGAGTCCGCATCACGGCTGAAAGGGCCGGGAAAAAACTAGCCCATGTTTCCTTTACAAATTCCACCGAGGGTTTCTTTCGCGCCGTTAACACAGACAAAATAACATCTCTCACCACACCGACAGCAATACAACTCGCTTCTCCAGAAGTATTACTGAAGACAATTCGAAGTAGAGCTGGTACAAGGGAGAGAATGCATTCGCGAACATCAGAATCCATGGGTAGGTTAGCTATCAGCTCAGAAATTAGTATCACAAAGTTCAGATGATGAATAGCTGATCCAGATTCAGCAAGAGCATCAGTCAAGTGACTCATAAGTGAATTGAGGCACTCGGACAGGGTGGGATTTGCCGCAGCACCCAATTCCACCGCTGCTGTAATGGTACTCAACGTCGCGGAGGAAACATTTACAATATGACGATCTCCTTCCCATAATAACAGGTTCATAAGAATACCCATCACCTCAATATCCTCTTCCAGAGCTCCATGCCCGACTTTCTGCTTAAGAATTGTCAAAGCTATGAGACGCTGGCATTGAGGAATGTTTGGCGAACGACAACAAGCGTATCGAGCGAGATGCTCCAAAAAACCACGACGTGCAGTGAGGTGCTCTATTCGCTCTTCGGCTTGAGTCCTCAAACAATTGTCAGAACTGAGAGCATTTTGGAGAAGTCCAGGGAAGTCTGCAATCTCCTTTTCCGAAAGACAAGGAGTGACCATGAACTACAAGACAACACAAAAGAGCGAAGAAGCCATGAAAACGATATTACAGTACACACGTTGGGTATGAAATCAGTAAGAAAAGAGCACGCAAAAAAAAAAAAGAACGACGCTGCCAGGGAAAGAAAAGCATTGGCTCGAGAATATATCTTCAACTTGCGGAGAGCAACGACGTGAACAGATTATGAATATTTTCTACTAGAAACGGGAACGACCACTCAAACCCATTGATATGCTTCGGAAGAACATAAGGGTGGGGGGAGCAAAAAAACTGCTTCACGCCAACCGTTTTTCCCTCAATATGAAGAATTGCCCCTTTATTGTCGAGGGTATCACAATAATTAGGAGCTGAAAAAACCGACACCATACATGGAAAGTTAGAAACGCTATTGAAGCGATAGAGCTTATAGCCTTCGTCTTGCGCCTCATGACTTCGCACGACACAAAGAAGGTTGTTAGTCGTGAGGAACTGCTTTACGCAGAGATAGTTAAACAAATAGCTACATCCGCGTTGCTCATTAACAAGAAAAACGGGGTTTGCTCCATAAGATGGACCAGTTTCAGGAGTGTAATAGTCATTCCTGGATCCTCCAGTAACCGATGAAGGATTTTCTACATCCCAAAAGGGATCTGACCACAACAAGTCACACATGGCTCCTCGTGAGGGGGGCTCTCTGAATCGGTGAATCAGTTGAATGTGGTTTACACTACTCACATCCGGTGAAAGACCACCATGCACACAGAAAAACTGCTTGTTTACAACAGCCGCTAGTGGCAAGCAATCAAAAGCCTCCATAATTGCTTGATACACTTGATCATCATACTTCCGTAAGCATTCTTCCTGAAAGTCGAAAAAATTTGTCATCAACCGAGATTCATGGTTTCCACGAAGCAAGAAGACAGACTTCGGGTAATTCAATTTGGCTGCCAGTAAAACTAATATACATTCACAACTAAAGGAACTGCGATCGGCGTAATTTCCGAGAAACAGATACTTCGTCGTATCATTGAACATGCCTCCTATACATAGTATCTTTGCTAGGTCGTACAGTTGTCCTCTAATATCACCAACCACAATAATGGAGGGGTCCTCAATGGCCAACAGATTTGGCTCAGCGCGTAAAATAGCAGAGGCATTTTGAATGATTCTAAGAGCGTCATTTTTCCTTAGTCGGCCTTGACGAAGAAGGTGAAGAAGCATCATTCCAAGATTGATCTTAGCCTTTCCATCGCTCAACGCCTCACGCTT